TCACTATTCTTAATTAAAAGTAAATCAGCTGACTGGATATTCTTTTTCAGAACAACAAGGGGAAAACATCCATGCTTAAGAGGAAGTATTCAGATAAGAAAAATGAACTCCTGGGCTGTTTATGTTTTACAGCTGTGGGGAAGCAACCATAGAAACAAATAAAGTAAACACTGCACGCAAGTAAAACATGACGTTTTAATCAACACACAATAGGGGTGAAACGCTCCCTGCCAGGGGCGGCAGCTTTGCAGAAATATTGGTGGAGCTCAGAAAGCCTGGAGCTTTCCTCCTTCCCCTCCTCCCTAGCTGCCTATGGCTTGGGGAAGCATTTGAGTGGAAAAGAACCGGAGGGCAGAGATGGGGTGTGTGGTGCTTCCCTGTGTACCCTCCTCTAGCAGCAGCTTTGGGACCAGGGGAAGTGACTTTTTGAAAAGCCAAAAAGAGGTTTGAAGAACAGCTAGCCAAAAACTCGAAGGGTAATAACAATGTTTTTTTTTAAGTACATCAGAAGCAGGAAGCCTGCTAAACAACCATTGGGCACCTGGATGAGCGAGATACAAAAGGAGCACTTAAAGACAATAAAGTAATTGCGGAGAAACTAAATGAATTCTTTGCTTCAGTCTTCACGGCTGGGGATGTTAGGGAGTTTCCCAAAGCTGACCTGTCCTTTTTAGGTGACAAATTTGAGGACTTGTCAGAGATTGAAGTGTCATTAGAGGAGGTTTTGGAATTAATTGATAAACTTAACAGTAACAAGTCACCGGGACCAGATGGCATTCATCCAAGAGTTCAGAAAGAACTCAAATGTGAAATTGCGGAACTATTAACTCTGGTTTGTAAGTTTTCCTTTAAATCAGCTTCTGTACCCTTATGACTGGAAGATAGCTAATGTAACGCCAATATTTAAAAAGGGCTCTAAAAGCTATCCCGCCAATTACAGACCGGTAAGTCTAACATCAGTACCGGGCAAATTAGTTGAAACAATAGTAAAGAATAAAATTGTCAGACACATAGAAGAACATAATTATTGGGCAAAAGTCAACATGGTTTCTGTAAAGGGAAATCATGTATTACTAATCGATTAGAGTTCTTTGAAGGGGTCAACAAACATGTGGACAAGGGGGATCCAGTAGATATAGTGTACTTTGATTTCGAAAAACCTTTGACAAGATCCCTCACCAAAGACTCTTATATAAATTAAGTTGTCATGGGATAAGAGGGAAGATTCTTTCATGGACTGAGAACTGGTTAAAAGACAGGAAACAAAGGGTCGGAATAAACAGTAAATTTTCAGACTGGAGAGGGGTAACTAGTGGTGTTCCCCAAGGGTCAGCCCTCGGACCAATCCTATTCAACTTATTCATAAATGATTTGGAAAAAGGGTTAACTAGTGAGGTGGCAAAGTTTGCAGACGATACTAAACTGCTCAAGGTAGTTAAGACCAAAGCAGACTGTGAAGAACTTCAAAAAGATCTTACCAAACTAAGTGACTGGGAAACAAAATGGCAAATGAAATTTAATGTGGATAAATGTAAAGTAATGCACATTGGGAAAAATAACCCCAACTATACATATAATATGACGGGGGCTAATTCAGCTGCAACTAAAAGAGATCTTGGAGTCATTGTGGATAGTTCTCTGAAGATGTCCATGCAGTGTGCAGTGGCAGTCAAAAAAGCAAACAGGATGTTAGGAATAATTAAAAAAGGGATAGAGAATAAGACGGAGAATATCTTATTGCCCTTATATAAATCCATGGTACGCCCACATCTTGAATACTGTGTATAGATGTGGTCTCCTAATCTCAAAAAAGATATACTGGCATTAGAAAAAGTTCAGAGAAGGGCAACTAAAATGATTAGGGGTTTGGAATGGGTCCCATATGAGGAGAGATTAAAGAGACTGCGACTTTTCAGCTTGGAAAAGAGGAGACTGGGCACCACAGGCCCATAGAACTTGCTGCTAATATCCCCGCAGCTCTGACCTATGCTTACTTGTTGCTGCCCTAACCTGATTCAATAACCGCAGAACAGAGGAAGGAGCCTCCCTCTGAGCCATTGTTACAATGCTCAATTCACTGGCCAGCAAGGTGCACTCACACATCCAGGAACTGACCTCTCTAGTCAGACTGGCCCAGGATGCTAAGTACATCTTGGCTTTTCTTTTAAAAGTCCTCTAATTTTGGGGCGAGGGACAATTTTCAGTTTTTCCCAAGGAGGCAAAACAGCAGCCCCTTTCCTGCAGAAGTGAAGAGAGCCCCGGGGAAATCTGCAGGGAGGGGGGCAGCTCTGGAGTGGGGCTGCTGGTGAGAGATGCGGTGGTGAAGAAGCATATCCAGTGTGACCTGTGCTTGTAGCATTCTGGTCTGGGGCCCAGCCAGGCTGTTCCAGACTCCCTTTTCTATGAGATCAGGATCATGGCCTCGGGGTAGGTCCATCAAGCCACTACAGTCATGGCATGGGTACTATCTCGCACTGAAGCGCAGCGTAATCTCTGATTTCACAATCACCACAGCTGTGTATTTTCTTTTATTACGGTCTCCACGCTAGTTCACACTACTGCAGGCCATTGATCTAAATTAAGCAATTTCAGCTATGCTGTTCATGGTCCAGAAACAAGAATTTTTAAGGCACCCAGAGATGGCAAGTGTGACTGACTTTCCCAGCCTGGAACCCTCTGGCACACCAGCCTGGGCCCCCTTTCATGCTGAAAGGCTGTGACAAGCTGTAGTCATCTCCAGGCCTTGGACTTATACTTGCAGGGTCATCACTCCCCCCTCACTTTCTCCACCTACAGTTATATGAATGCTTCTCCTAGCCTCTCATGAACCAACAATCGAGAGGCTCCTACCAGCTCCACTCTGTAGGACCCCAGGCCACGTCTGCACTAGGAAACTATTTTGAAATTAGTAAATTTGACTTAATAAATCCCAATTTCACAAATTCAAACTAGTGTGTCAACACTACAGGGAAGCCTCAGAATTAGTCTGAGGCAGGCTCCATTAATGTGGACACGCTACCTTAGACTTAGAGCCCCAGGAAGCACTGGCGAGTAATTAGTTCATATTACTCTTGGGAGTAATTATTTCAAAATAGCAGTACCGGAGCATCCAAAGTACTGTTATTTCAAAATAACTATTTTGGAATTAGCATTACTCCTGATGGGAAAACAGGAGTACAGATTTTGAATTCCATGGCTTGTTATTTCGAAATAATGGGGTTGGAAGTGTGGAAGCTCTGCTTATAAATTCGACCAGGAGAAGGCGGTTGGGGGAGTTATTTTGAAATAAAGTCCTAGTGTAGACCAGGGCCTAGATGTGTATGATCTTGCCCTGGTCAAAAGCCTGAGCAGTATAATTAGTTTATTACCCAATCAATAGTAATCCCTTCCTCAGTGCACACCAGTTTTTGTTTCTGAGCAGATTCCCCAAGCAGTTCTAGCAAAACACACAGATTTATTAATCACAGAAAGATAGATTTTAAGTGATTATAAGTAATAGCATACAGATCAAACTAGACTATCATTAGGACATTTAAAACAAAAGCACAATCTAAGTTCTCTAACCTGGACAAGATTTGAATCTCAATGTCTCACTCTGATTTCATATACAGTCTACCAGTCTTCCATACACAGGCAGGCCTGTCTTCTTTCCCACCTGAGACCCACTTCCCCAGTTCAATCTTTGTTTCTAAAGTGTTTCCAGATATTGTAGTGGCAGTGTGGGAAGTGAGGTCAAGTGATGATGTCACTTCACCTCTTTCTTAAGCTTCTTCTAGTTTGCTGGAAAGATCTATGCTCATGATCTATGCTCATGCATCCTCCTTTACCTATTTGCTTCCTGTGAGGATGCCTCCATTGTAAACAATTCTGGAGACTCTTCCTGGGCATGTGGATTCCTTTTAATGGGGCCTTTAGCACTGTCTAGCTTCTTAATTGGTGTCCCTGAAAAGCTAGCTGCGGGTGTTTAAAACTTCACAATATATTTCAGTAACACACATGGCAAAACTTCATAACTTCGCATACAATCCAATAGGATATTAATGCTCAAGAGTTTAGAACATCTCAGAAGGGCCTGGTTGGTATGACACTTATGTGACTATGGGGGCATCAGGATGTTGCTTTAAGGCACAGAGTTTTAGAGCAGTGTTTTATATGTTAATATGCCCTTGGAAAGTTGCAGGTAATATACTGGGCCTGCTACTGTGAGGCAACGCTAAAGGATCTTCCGTCCTCCTGTCTCAATACAATGGGCAGCACCAAAGTGGTTAGTCCTGGGTAGCTAGTAGTCAGGCTGAGGTCACTGGTTGGCATATTGTGGGAGCCACTGTAGGCAGCTGTACCTGGGAAAGCTGACTGGTAGGAAGCAGGACTGGGTTGACCAAACTTTCCACCATTGGTAACTCTCCTTCCTGTTCTCCTCTTGTGCACTTCCTCCCTTTGCTCCCAGTTCCTGGTTGGCAGGAGGCTGCGGTGTATTGGCAGAGGTCAGGGTGGAAAGAACCAGCATAGAAGTTAGTGACCTCTTGTAGGATGGCAATGCTGGCAGTGGCAGCACATGGAAGGGCTACAGAAAGGGGGACTGGCTGCCTTTTGCTGGTGTGGTGAAGGAGGTGGTGAGAGAGCAATCTATTGGTGTTCCCAAAGGGGAGCTGAATTTGGGGGAGTGCTGTAGAAAAAGGAGAGGAGGAGGAATGGGGAGGGCATTAAGGCTCTGACTGGGGGAGGTTAGATGGTGTTTGAGCTGGCCAAGTGCTACATATTCCCTCAGTGCAGACAAAGCTAAGGGAAAAGTGGACAGGGAGAGCTGGGTCCTAAAAGTCATCCAACTCCTCAGAATCAGACAAATGAATATGCATCAATTTACTAATAAAGGAGAAGCCAGTTGTGTGGCAATGATTTTGCTGCAAGAACTACCCGGTTAGCAGCACTGCTTACTTCCTGGAACATATTACACTGAGAGCTTGGCTTCCTGTGAGTAAAACTGGAAAACAAGAGTCCATTTTGAGGAGTAGAAGATCTAGTGAGAACAAAGTTCTGAATATGTATAAAGTCCTGAGGAAACAAAGATCTTGTGGGGATTTGTGCTTCTGCAAAAAGTGCATTGCGTCATTTTCACCTTGCAGAGGATTTGCTGCTACACTGAAGAACTCGTTATGTAAACTCCCAGGACAAACCAATAGAGCGGTGAGTCATCTGTCACCTTGTTACCCAAATTTGTTCAGGCGAGTCACTTCTAGAACCAGTTCAAAATTGTATTGTAAAATTAAATGGGCTGAATCCCAAAGCAACTAACTTTCCCAAAGTCTTTCTAGCTAGAAAGAGAGGCTGAAAATGTAGCTTTTTGAGTTCTTATAAAGGCAGATCATGCCAGATATGTGGATGCTCTGAGCTGCTGAAGAGCGGATGATGATTTTTTAAGGCCTGGTCCAAAGCCCACAGAAGTCAATCCTTTCCACTGATTTCAGTAAGCTTTGGATCATATCCTTAAATCTAATCTGAAACTTTGGCATCTGTGTATGTCATTGGGATCCAAGAATCTCTGAAAGCTAATATTTTTTATATTTTGTCTTAAGAAAAGTCTGAATATTCCTTATCTGGCATCTTTTGATGCACAGAAGGGCCTGGTGGCTGTAATCTGTATTGTGCTTCATCTGATCATGGTCCAAACGTCAGATGAGTGGGATAATTTGACTTGATGATTTCTTTGGCAACTAAAATGAGCTTCTTAATATTTCTCTGTAATTCTGGAAGACCAAGTACTAGCTCTGGCCAAGGTGTCAGCTGAGTACTGGCAAACTTGCAGCTGGAAGTCAAGCCAATTCTAGATCAAAGTGATTAAGTATATAAACATGTATTTGGTGTGTTTAAACTCAATGAAAACAGTGGAGATTCTGGATATATTATTTTCACTTTTCTGCATCCTGTTAGAATGCAATAATACAGGTCCTGTATTATAAGTGGCTGTCCGTAGTGTGTGAGTTTGTGTTTGGGGTTTACTTGTTGGTTGCCTGAAAGATACTGTGTGCTGAGCTTGTGTTTGTCTGTTGGAAATTCATGTGCTAAGCTGTTTGTTTGAAGGACCATGTACTGAGGCTGGCAGTTGGAAGCTATGAGCTTCTTAATGAGGATTTGAAATCTAGAACCCTCTGTTCATTGGTCAAGCCTTACCCACAGGGAGGGGCTATCAGGAAGGCCAGGGATTTATAAAGTCTGCTAGTAAGGAACCAGGGAGCCTTGTGAACAGGAGCAGCTAACAGGGAGTTTTGTGAGGGTGTTTAGAGAGGGAGTCAGAAAGAGGCTAAATACCCTTTGGTTTTTAGGTTTAAAACTTTTAACCTAAACTAAAACCAAAACTAGCTCATTTAAATAAAAACCCCATCAATAATCTAATTATCTGTAGGAGAGAATGCAGGCAGAAGATCAGCAGCAGAGTGGGGGCTATCCTGTTTGTTGCACCCAATGTAGCATGTATGATTACCTGCCCTGTGGGTGGGTGGCATATGTATGCATTCAGTGCAAGGAGCTCCTGGCCCTCAGAGACTGCATATGGGCTTTGGAGGCCAGGTAGCTGAACTGGAGGAGCTAGGGGAGGCAGAGAAGTACGTAGATGAGGCTTTCTGGGACGCTGCAGCATTGTCCCATCTCTAGTCAGTCAGCCTTTAGGCTGTTAAGGAGGATGAAAGGCTCAGGGAAGAAGAACATTCAGCTGGAGCAGAGGGAGCCCATCCCATAGTTTGGACCCTCCTTCCAGATGATGATGTGATTTCCTCTTGCACTGAGGATACCTCTCAAGGGGAGGGACTGCCAGTCATTAGGAAAAGGCAGGTGTTAGTAACAAGGGATTCGATCATTAGAAACATAGGGAAGAGTAGAAGAGAAGTTCTGGAGGCCAGATTTAGGCTGCTAGGAAAGAAATTGAAATCCAGAACCTCTATGGTAGTGTTGTCTGAAATGCTTCCAGTTCCATGCACAGGGCCAGGTAGGCAGGCAGAGCTTCAGAGTCTCAATGCGTGGCTGAGACAATGGTGTAGAGAGGAGGGGTTTTGATTTATTAGGACTGGGGAAACTTTGGAGATAGAGGGAGCCTATACAGAAAGGATGGGTTCCACCTAAAAAAAATGGAACCAGATTGCTGGCACTTAACATTAAGAAGGTCGTAGAGCAGTTTTTAAACTAAGGGCTGGGGGAAAGCCGACATGTGTGGAGGAGCACATGGATCGGACAGAGACATCCCTTGGGGAGGGTCTATTAATAGAGATTCTCTATTTTCTAGTGAGGAGAAGAGGATGGAAGATGATAAAGCCTGGGTCAGATCAGATGAGACACAATCAAATGAAAAAGAGTCTAACACATCAGGAAATGGCAAATAAATAGTGACACATTTTTAAGTGCTCATACACAAACACTAGAAGTCTAAATAATAAGATGGGTAAGCTAGAGTGTCTCATAGTAAAGGAGGATATTGATATAATTGGCATCACAGAAACTTTGTGGAATGAGGACAATCAATGGGACACTGTCATACCAGGATACAAAATATATTGGAAGGATAGAACAGGTTGTGCTGGTGGGGGAGTGGCACTATACGTGAAAGAAAATGTAGAATCAAATGAAGTAAAATCTCAAATGAGCAAAATGTTCCATAGAATCTCTGTGAATAGTAATTCCATGCTCTAATAATAAGAATATAGCAGCAGGGATATATTATTGAGCACCTGACCAGGAAAGTGATAGTGACTATGAAATGCTAAGGGAGATTAGAGAGGCTATCAAAATGAAATATCTTGATACCTTAAATGATTGCTTCTTGGAGCAGTTGGTTCTGAAACCAACAAGGGGAGAGGCAATTCTTGATTTAGTCCTTAGTGGCGTGCAGGATCTGGTCTAAGGAGTAATTATAACTAGACCGTTTGGAAATAGTGACCATAACGTAATAAAATGTAACATCCCCATGGTGGGAAAAACACCTCAGTAGCCCAACACTATTTAGAAAGGGGAGGAGGTTAGTTAAACAGAAATTAAAAGTTACAGTGACAAAAGTAAAATTCCTGCAAACTGCATGGAAACTTTTCAAAGACACCATAATAAAGGCCCAACTTAAATGTATTCCCCAAATTAAAAAACACATGAAGAGAACCAAAAAAGGGCCATCATGGCTTAACAACCAAGTAAAATAAGCAGGGAGAGATAAAAGGGCATCATTTAAAAAGTGGAAATCAAATATTAGTGAGGAAAATAGAAAGGAGCATAAACTTGTCAAATTAAGTGTAAAAATAAAATAAGAAAAGCCAAAAAGGAGTTTGAAGAACAGCTAGCCAAAAACTCAAAAAGTAATAGCAAAACATTTTTTAAACACATCAGAAGCAGGAAACCTGCTAAACAACCAGTGTAGCCATTGGATGATCGAGATGTTAAAGAGCATCAAAGATGATAAAGTAATCGCAGAGAAGCTAAATAAATTCTTTGCTTCCATCTTCATGGCTAAGGATGTTAGGATGATTCCCAAATCTGAGTCATTCCTTTTAGGTGACAAATCTGAGGAATTGTCCCAGACTGAGGTGTCATTAGAGGAGGTTTTGCAACAAATTGATAAACTTAACAGTAACAAGTCACTGGGACCAGATGGCATTCACCCAAGAGATCTTAAAGAATTCAAATGTGAAATTGTGAAACTATTAACTGTGGTTTGTAACCTATCCTTTAAATCAGCTTCTCTACCTACATAATAACATAAGAACGGCCATACTGGGTCAGACCAAAGGTCCATCTAGCCCAGTATCCTGTCTACCGACAGTGGCCAGCACCAGGGGCCCCAAAGAGGGTGGACCGAAGACAACGATCAAGCGATATGTCTCCTGCCATCCCTCTCCAGCCTCTGACAGACAGAGGCCAAGGACACCATTTTATCCCCTGGCTAATAGCCTTTTATGGACCTAGTGACTACCTAATGACTGGAAGATAGCTAATGTGACGCCAATATTTTAAAAGGGCTCTAGAGGTGATCCTGGCAATTACAGACTGGTAAGTCTAATGTGAGTACCAGGCAAATTAGTTGAAACTATAGTTAAGAATAAAATTGTCAGACACGTAGATGAACATAATTTGTTGGGGGAAAGTCAACATGGTTTCTGTAAAGGGAAATCTGTAAAGGTTTTTTGTGCAAGAAAATCAGTAGAACAGTGGCTTTTCCCAGTAGAGTTATTCCTCTCCCCACGAAGCATAACTCCTTTTTGCGCTATAGCTCTTGCACAAAAAGGCAGGTGTGGATGTTCCGGAGGGGTTTTTGTGCAAGAAACCCCTAGCGGAAAAAGCACAGGTGCTCTGATGGCCATTCTTGCTTTTGCACAAGAAGTTTTTGTGCAAGAACTCTTCTGCAAAAGGCTTCTTGTGCAAAAACCCTTCAGTGTAGACTAATCCCTAGAATTCTTTGAGGGAGTCAAAAAACATGTAGACAAGGGGATCCAGTGGCTATAGTATACGTAGATTTCCAGAAAGCCTTTGACAAGGTCCCTCATCAAAGGCTGTTAAGTAAGTTGTCATGGGATAAGAGGGAAGGTCCTTTTGTTGGGATTGAAAGTTTTATTCTTTTTATATCTGTATTTTAGGATTAATAATGTAGCAATGTAACGTAACACATTATTCTATTAAACTAAGCCCTTTAGTAAGACATATCTTTCTTTTGCTTTAAAGCTTAGTAAGTTTAGTAAGTAAAGAGACAGAGTTTTGGTATTGTGTCTATGTTAATGAGATTAGAGGAATGTTGAAGGCTGAAGTCCTAATTGTTTGATTTACAAGGCTTTTTGCTTTGCCCAATATAGGATACTGTTGTATTATGCTTTTCTTTAAAAAGTCCTTGTAGAGATTGTTTGTGTGTGAAAGTGGTATGTGAAAGTGGTATGTACGTGTCGAGATAAAGGTGTGAAGGTTATTGCTCAGAGCCATATGGCCAAGGAAGGAGGGGCGAAGCGTGGGTGAAAATAGACTTATCAGCATCAGAGGGAACATCAGTGTATGCCCATGGTAAAAGAATGATCAGACTGGCAGATTGATGGCCCTAAAGTGGAGCTGGCACCCCTAAAAGATGATTGATTACAGGATGAGCCTTTCGAAATATTTTGGGAATGATTGACATTACAAAGATAACACATCGGACACAGAATGACACAGCAGAATCCATAGACTTC